AATGTTCTACGCGCCGAACCTTCTACGCCGAATGCTTCAGAAGCCCACGCGTGTACAAAAGCGGCTCCGCGTGGCAAGCCGGAGTCAGTTTCGCCCCAGCGTTCTACTCTGCTCTTTCGCCGACTTCGACGCCCGCGACGCTCTGCTGTTATCTTCTGTTTCCTTTTTATTTTTGGGCACAAGTTCGCTCCATTAAACGTTGAGTTTCTTCAGTCATTATCACCTCATCACTTGTCATCCGTTACAATATGTAGCAAGAGTTACTGCGTATACCCAAAAGCTAGCGACTGGAAGACCCGTGAACTCGGACGGTGCCGTAATCGGCGGCCGCCGCCGTGCGTGGGCTGCGCCGTACTCGTCCCGTGTACACCCAAAAGCTAGCGACTGAAAAACGAGTGACCTCGTTCGGTGCCGTACTCGGCGGCTGGAGCCGTGCGTGCGGTTTTCCGTATTCGTCGCTAGGCCTAAATTGTCATCGGGGCTCCGTGGTTTTATTGAAACAGCATTTCATGCTTTAATAAACAATGCATTTAACACAGGCGCAGTAAACGAAAACACCACGGCAATTGTTGACGGCAGGCTTACGGGTATCCGTACTTTACAGGCGGAGGCAAACATTCTAAGGTATTTTCTTGTCTACCTCAAAAGGACGAGAAATAAAATAACAACAATTTGGAACACTGACTTTGGCGAAGCATCGGAATGGCGATACACACCGTTTATCCTTACCGCGAATGGCAGCGGGCGCTACGAGGCATCTCGGCACACCCAGCTCTGCGCACGAAGCACTTTGCTATCCTATACCCCCGAGTCTCTCTGCGCCCCTCCGAAAATCACTTTAGACTCGCCTAGAGTTGGATTGGCGGATTGGCTCCGACGGTTCGTTGCGTCCCCCATTGGGGTGCACGCTAAACATTTTCACACCTATATTGGTGTGAAGAAAGTGTATTTTGGAACGAACAACCCTTCCTACATACGTTTTATACGCTTTTCGAGAGTATGTAGTTGTAAAAAGGGTGTCATGGTCATTTACACCCTTCCTACTCCTCTCCTACACCCTGCAGCTAGCAAAATCACGTCTTAAGGGTGTACGTCCTCTTTATTACACCTTTGATGCACACCGTGTTAAGAAGGTGTAATGGCGATACTATCGAATACACCCGCGATTTCTTATTTCCCCCTTTCTATCGTGTTAGCCAAAGTTTGCCACGATCGTCTCAAATTGATACGTGAAGATCACATTAGCGCTGTCTCATAATTCATACCGTTCCTTGATCGTGCTCAAGGTTCCAACATCGTAGCAATGAATCCTTCAGAACCCCACAAAACCTTCACAGAAGTGTTGGCATCCAGGCAGCACCAGTATGGCGCCGATGTTAGCGTAATATCGGAAAGATTGTGCCAATACCATTTTGATCTAGCGGATATCATTGAGGTATCGGATGGATTGCGCCGACCCTATCCTGACATACTGTACCGGCCACCGTTTTCCGTTGAGTGTGGGGAAGATTCGTTTGTTAATCAGCTATGCTGGCCAGGTATTCGGATTTCATGACCAACTCAAAACCGTGGTTAAAAAAAAAGCAAACCGGAATAGGTTGAGGCGCGTTCGCACAGGCGATGTAAAAGCACTCGCGCGATGTGATTAGATCACATCGCAAAAAAATCAGATGGTCACACGGGCGTGCCCGATATCCGAGTCGCTTCTCGAGAACTCTCACTCCGAACGCCGCTGATTGGCTGAGCCACTCCGCGACTAGATCGTATCGCAGAACGTCGGGTCAGCTAGCGACTGTTCGAATCGCGTCACTTTTTTTCTGCGATGGTCGCTTTTGCGACGAAAGTTATCGCGCGACTAGATCGCATCGCCGATGTGAACGCACCTTTACTTTTAGCCCGAGAATGAGAGACAAAACCCGCAGAGGGAGCTCAGCTGCATTGACTATCTCTCTTCGACCTCGCCTTGTGTTAAGCCTTCCCACCGTCTTCTGTGTTTTCGCGCGGGTGTGAGGGAGCGCGGAAACCGCTTCAATAAAATCAAAGTGGTGGAGCAAAACACGTGAAAGCTCCCCGTAGGGAAAACGCTTGGACAAAAAGTTGTCACGTGACTCGCCCTGACACGCTGATGGGCTTCTGGGACCGTACTCTTTGCCGTATACGCGAAGTTGTGGTGATGTGTAAGGGGCCACGTAGGTCCGCGGTTTCCGAAATGCGCTCTTCAATGTTCTACTTTTCGTGCGTTGCAGTTGCGGCTGTGGTATTTTTGTCGTGAACGTCCGGAATACGCCTGTGCCAATTTTTCAGTACGCACCTTTTCTTCGTCAGACTCCATGGAAATATTATGTTCTGCTTGTTGGACGCGTTTCGACAACGAATTTCTCATCGGCAACAACGAGAATTTCGTTGAATGTGAGAATCCTTCTTCTTTCTGGAATTTATATTGGCATTGCTTCGTGCTGCCCCAGTCAGATTATGCATCTATCACGAACCACGTGATATTGCCTTTTTATTCTCAAGTACACGGCAATCATGATTCTTATAGTAGTCCTGCATCCGTCTGAATAAAAAGTTTTAGTATATCGTTCCGATGTCCTCGATATCCCCAATAACGATACAATGTATGCGCAAAGGTGGTTGCGAAGTATCGGATATCGTTATCGGATCCATAGGAACGATCTATTAAAACTATCTAATAAGCACGGTCCTTCGTGTTTGATTTGTGAAGTTCGCTTGACGAGGAAGACGTGTAATTCTATTTAATAATTTGTTTTCCATTCCACGGAGAAGTATCACTTTTCTAAATGTGCCGAGAACAAGCTGTGTGTGATGATAGGGTGTTAATAAAATTTTGTGGGAGATTGAAAACAATTCCGTTTGCCCATGTGTGCGTGCTAGGCGAGCCCGATATCTGCACTTAACGCGCAAGCCAATACTGCCGATGTTGCCGATACAAAGGGAGAGCATAGGCGACGTCCGGCCGATACAGAGCAGACGCATATGTAACATCTGGGGTGGTTTGCTCATCTTTCGGCCGCGGCCGCGGCTGCGGGCAAGAGGGATGTTTATGTCACGTGGCCAGCTCCATGGGGACAAGAAGTACATAGCTTTATTGCCTAAGAGCTGAGAAATCCGTGTCGCTTCGAGTACAGAAGTCTAATTTCGCTCGCAGAAAGTGACTGCAGAGGCTTTAAACTGAAGTCCAGTTAACCGCCCCATACATACCTTAGGAGCGGCAGGTAATGTTACGGCGAGGGAAGGTAAATATGAGCCAAAATAAAGGAAAAATCATGCAAAACGAAAGCGGTGGTTGTGTAATTATATATCTGCGCTAGCACCGGAATAACATCCTCCATTTCCATGTAATAGATAAATAAAAAAAAAAAATTCTGCTGTAATGGAACGGTTAGAGCGCCGAGACTTGTCGTCAGGGCGTGAAAGTTCCGGGTTCAAATCTCCGCGGACGCTTTTTTTTTCATTCTGCGCGTGTTTTATTTTTTAAGTGTGATCTTTTTTTACAAATCATTCACCAGGACTTACACGGTTTTTACTGTTTGCCCCACCTGTTGGACCGACAAACCGGAAGAAAAAAAAAAAGATTAAGCCAAGTCAACGCGCTAATACAATCGTTTCAATAATTAAAAGGAAACCAATATCAAGCCAAGTTAACGCGCAATTAAGAACGTTTCATAATGTTCATTAAAAGAACACCAAGATTACAGCATCAGTATGACTTTCACTCAAACGGGGCCGATACAACCATCCTTTCCCCAGCAACTACAATTTTATGTTTTTAAATATAAAACGCTCTTTCTATACCTTTTTTCGATAACAGGACGCGCCTTTTTGGTGCTAATACACACTGCAGTCGTGTCAATTAAAAAAATTAACAAGATTTAAAAAATACACATTCACACACAAAAAAAGTAAAACTTTTGGGGCGATTTGGACCCAAAACTTTCGCGCCACGACGCGGATCCCCGGAGCTCTTTTCCCTCGACTACAGGAAGAAACCTCGAATATGCGGCGCTGGCGCAGGGATATCAATATACTTGCAACGATTTTATCTCGCTCTATTTTCCCTTTATTTTGGCTTATATTTAACTTCCCTTGCCGTAACTTTACCTGCCGCTCCTAAAATACGGTGGGGTGGTTAATTGCACTCCAGTTTAAAGCCTCTGTAGTCAGTTTCTGCATGCGAGCGAAATTAGACTTTTGTACTCGAAGTGGCACGGACTTCTCTGCCATTAGGCAGGGGTGCTAGGTACTTCCTTGTCCCCATGGAGCTTGTAACGTGACATAAAAACCTCTTTTGGCCGCAGCCGCGGCCGCGGCCGCAAGATGAGCTACCCGCCCCAGGCCAATATCTGACCGACATAGCGACCTGGGCAGTGCTCGCACGGTATACCGCCGTTACAAGACCGGTCGCGAAACGGCGGTACGCCAGTATACCTGCCGAGTGTCGGGACGTGGTGCAAAACCGGTCGGCCGACATTACCACGGCACTGGCCAAGGATCGCCGTGCTACTTGGGTCGATTCGTTTGAGTAAATTTATCTTTGTTTTTCAGTCATTTTATAGGATTCCGGGACGGAGTGCATTTTTTAACAAAATGTTGTACTATGAAAATTACACTTTTAGCAGGAGGTGTATTGTGAATTTACACCTTTATAAGGAGGTGTACTGCAGTATTACATTTTTAGTCAAGGTGTTAGAAAAATCTCACCTTTTCTAAGTGTGTGAGGTTTACAGATTTTTTTCTCAGGTGTAGCGTTACATCAATAAAACTGTTAGTCTGTTTATTGTTAAGTGTGTAAAATGAAACGGAAAATAAATGGTTGGGATGTAAACTCCCCGCTGCCCCCAGCACAGACACACGCTCATAAACAGCTCCAAGAGCCAAAGCCGAGGAAACATTCTTCATGCGTCTCGTTTGTTTTTGTGAGGTGAATAGAAGCATCGAGGCGCAGGTAGGTCGATACTGTGCCTTCAACGCGCTCTCACCAGCACAGAGTAATGATGATAAGATTCTTGCGGATCTCGGGCTTGGTGAACAAGTCACGTGACGACGCCGTTTCTTCCTCCGTCTCTTGAGCCAGCTCCCTCTGCACTTTCTTTCAAAACAGGGTGACACATTAGCTTATCGCTTCAACTGGTCACAATTAGTCTATAAAATCACGTAAAAAGAAATCGCAAACAAAGTATAAATATTCGCGGATGCCGGGCCTGCTTTATAGAATACAGTTTTAGGCAATAACAAAAGAAAGGTAATTAGAGTAAAATATTTTCAACATTGGTAAAAAGGATGAATTTCGACTGTGCGTTAGTTACTGCCTACTCAAGAAACGCCGTGCGAACCGATTCGCGAGCATTTTAATGTCGCTCCTTTATTATCTCGATAGGAAGTTTTGGTAGATCGTGACCGATATTTTCAATAACAACATACGGCGAGCAAGTGTTCTAAATTACGTCTTTGGCTCATCAAAACTTAAAGAGAAACAAACCAATCAAAAAACGTAAAAAAAAAAAACAACCGCGTAGAGATTTTGCGATGACGAGCCAGCGAAGCTCGTGCCGTCATGGGTTGAACCATAACCTCCTCTATGCTCACGGAGCCTGGCAGTTCGATGACGGAGCCATAGAGTGAACGGTCGCAGATTTGGAGCGCGAGGATCTGGTCGCACAGAGCATTTCTCCGGGAAGCCTGTGGTCAGCGCCGAGCTTTTGCAGCAGCGAAGACTCGAGTCATGATTTTAAAACCCGACGAGAAAAGAAGCGGTTGCCCGAGGAACGCGAGAAGCACGAGCGGACAATCAATCACTCGAAATAAGCGTGTTTAGGCGTCTCGCCGCAGCGGGGCGCCCGTTGCATGCCTCTTGTCTGGCGCTCTACCTTTTCACTTTTGGCGGCCACGTCTCGTGGCGATCTGCCGGGCTTTGTCAGTGTACAGAAGGCTATGGTTGAAGTCGGGGCTATATAGAAACACATGGGGGCGTATTTGAGGAGTAAACAAATGCATGTGGTGCGCAAGTAGCAGACAAACTTGCACGCCGCGTATACCCGATACACCACCCGCGCCTTTGCGCGTGCATCGCATAGTTACGGGGATCGTTGGAGGAGTTGTCGGATCGATCTACGCTCTCTATTATCGTCTTGTAGCCAACAAGATAGCGGTATCAGGCGATAAGAGCATACCAAGTACGAATCACGAAGCGATTAATATGAACATGTTTAGTCACGACCGGCGTTTGCTAATCTCTCAGTGTCTCCAGCCTGCTCAATAAAGGGCGTCGTTCACACATGATTTAGAGTGTCATAACTTACGGTGTTGCATGGTGAAAGTGTTATTCAAAATTGGATGAGGCTACACTTGCACCCCTGACGGCTATGTGTAGTTTTAAATGACGGAACTGCTAAGTTTCTTGCCGCTGCCTCTGGCGGGTCGCAGGTTCGCTACACGGGCTCAGCGTAGTATTTTTCCTGTTCTAGATGATGTGAGCTCAAAATTAAGATTGATATCTAGTGATTGCGCCATATGTTTAATTTCATAAAATAGGCAAGAATGTCAACAGGCCTGCAAGCTAACCTATACTGCTGAACCCCGCCGAATCAGTCAAGAAACATCTTAATTGTGAGAAATCACGTTAGCGCAGCTTTTTATGTAAAAGAACACGCGTGTTAAACCCCGGTATGTGGAGCTGCGTACTCGTACGATAGAAACTTCAGACGGTGTATTTGGGAGTAGGAGGCGCGGTAACACTCCTTTGCACTCTCCCCCTCCGCTCCTCTCCTTTAGCCCCCTTTCTAAAGAGTAGCAAACACCAACAAACAAAGACCTCCGCCGTAAAAAAAAAAAAAAAAACTTAAAATTTTGGGTAGGAGTGCGTTAGTATAATGGTTTATTTCTGCAAGCTTACTCTCCCCGAAAATCCGTTTAAGAACGGTTCTTCGACGTCACAAGAACTCTTTCAACCCGTGAAGAACGGTTCTTCCTCAAGCACTATTGCCACCTGGCGCACTACACTCTAAAAAAAAAAGAAGCTAGTAGTATTTACTAGGTAAGAGCTAGAAACTGCTTGTCACGTGTATTAGTAGGTACCCGGCAACCGTAGGTAGTAACGGTCAGGCTAATAACGGCTACTAAGTCAAGAAACTAGTAACTGGAAGACCGGAAACGCCACGAGTCACGTGATTTCCGGGGCGAAAAGGCGTGTGGCTATACCACTTACGGCCAGATGGCAGTTAAAACATTAATTAAAACACTAACTGTCAAAGCGGAATGTTAACCGATCTTTATCCAGAATTTAAATGGGTGGTACAACGATTTTCAGACTTTGGCCAATTAACTGCGGAAATTAATCTGTCACCCATGGAACAAAGAACAGAAAACCATATTTTCTGGTAAACGCTACTTTTTATGTAATAAAAAAAATCCAAACAAATCGAAGGTCAAAGTGCTTCTCAACCTTAAACGTCGCTTTTCGAGGGACGCACTCTTGGGGATCACGTGGTTTCCCCTTGAGTTCTCTCTTCAGAGATCCCAGCCGCTTTCTCCGCTATTGTTGACTTTTAAAGGATTAGCATCGTCGAAGGTCGCTGCGTGCAATCGACTTAAAAGACGGTTCGCCACGGGGGTGACGGCGAGTGTAACTGCTGTGGGGGACAGGTTTTGTTCACTTCCGCGCATCCCCAAGAGTACATCACACACCAGTTCCGTTAACCACCAAAAGCGGCTGCATATCGGCAAATATTTCGTTTTCTTCTTTGCGATTACGCACCGAAATAGCAGTTTTTCCGGGCAAACTGACGCGTGTTTGGTCAGTTGTGCTTGGGTAAAAAGTATAAAAAATACAAACTGTCAATTATTCAAACACTAAAATCGTTGCACTGCACCTTTAATGTCAATACGTATGATCGTATTGCTGTAACATTTTTATATTGAATGGCACGAGCGTAGAATAAGAAGTTTACGACTTAAACCCTTTGTCACTTGAGCTTATGATTTCGTCCGTTGAAGAGATGCTTATTGTATTTTGTTTAGACTGACGCTACCTGCTGCGCTGACGCGCTGTGCTCCGAAACGGAACGTCTGCAACTCTATTTTTACTAACGTCATTAGGAACATTTCGTAACCGCTTTTCTCCTTCTCCTCCTCGATGACGCCACTACTGAGGCTGCGAGACGCTAGCTTTGTTTTCGGATTTCTGGATTTCCTGGCGGCCGGTGAAGGGCACTGCGGGACGACGTAAGCGGTCAGCGAGAACTCCCCACTGACAACGTGTTGGACGTAATGCGGTCCCTTTATAACATTGAGATCAAAGTTGAAGGAAGACAGGCTTTTTTTTTCTTTTTAACTGGACTTACCACGAGGTCAGACGCCAGATTCTCCGGTGGTTCGACACCATTTCTTTTTGCAATCCGTTTCAGGATGACGATTGCATCGCTCATACGGTTCTGGGACAGGAGCCAGCGCGGAGATTCTGGAAGTATTCTTAAGAACAAAGCGAGAGAAAAAAAGTTTTTTTAACCACTTCTGGACAATAGAGTAAGTGCTTAAATAATAGCGTGTAATAAAAAAAGACTCCACTCACTGATGTCTAGCATAAAAAAATGGCGATCATTAATTTATTAGTTACGTATGGGAACATCCAAGAGAAGATCATGATTCATAATTTAGTTATCTTTATTGATTCCGAGTTTCACACACATTATACACGTCAAATTAAAGCCCGTAAGCTTCCAGTTTCTCACAGTTCTGCGAGAGACAACCCCCGCAGCCTACTTAGGGAGTTTGGCATATTACTACATAAAAAACATCAGCCTAGAAATCAACTCTGCAACGCTAAAGTGGACATAGCGTGAACACTGGACTTCATTTCTAGGCTTGAGCATACTTTCTGCCAAATTTAGTGTCCGAGTGCTCTAGTAAAAAAAAATATATAAACGGCAATGAAAAAAAATATTGTACTCGGTTTCTGAAGGCGCAGAGGTAGACAAAAATTAGAATATTGGCTTTCCTTTAAAAATACTCGTACTCACAAAAACAAAACCGCATTTAAAAAAAAAATGACTGCAATAAAAGGAAAGAGTAGCAAGATATTCAACTCTACATGAGCTAAAATCCCCAGAAAATCCTGGAACCCGTTTAACATTGCCCCCCCCCCCCCCCAAAAAAAAAAGAAAGCACAATAAGTAAACATGTAAAGCGTTAAAACCACGGGTGACAAGAAATCTTTCGTAACCAGCCAGAACGCCGTCCAATTCGCTCGTAACATTATTTTATTACACTGGCGAAAAATGCCTCACTCAACAAAAGTCATTCGATTATCAGTGCAATGCTAATGGGCAATTCCAACAAATCGCGTCTTCTGCATGATGCCATCATTGTATACTGGGCAGTGGAAGGCGTTTTCAGCACGACCAATAGGTTTCTTCACACGAATATCAGAGGCTGCCCATGCTTTGGCAGCTCAGTGACTCCGCACCTTTTTTTGGTTGGGTGACAAGCTCTGTAAAGGTCTTTAAAATGTACCGGAATGGGATAAATGTTGCATTGTTTCAGGTAAAAATTTTCGACATGAATATGTTAAAAGAATGCACATCCGGCGTCAATAATATATATCTTAAAGATCCCTCTCCCTCCCCCCCACACCACAAACATCACACACACACACAAGCACGCAGTCCCGCGCGCACACACACAAAACGGCTCGGAAGAAGCTGCAAACGGGCGTGTTGCAACCTAGGAAGCCACAGCTTTTTTTCTGCTTAAAACGAAATAATTAAATCTTTTGTTCCCTTTAGGAAGGGTTGTTAGTATCCGGGTTAATGCGAGTCCCATAAAAATAGGAACACTTGTACAAAGAAAAAGCGAAAGAAAGAAAGAGGAAGAGATTACGGACCGCAGAGGACGCTACAGACTAACGAAGCCAATCCAATGTCAGGTGAGTGTCACATGACATTCGGGAGCTGCGCGGCGACACGCGGTCACATGAATGGTTCACGACGCTGGATTGGCCCGGATAGCTTCTAGCGCCCGCTGTCGTCCCCGTTACGTCAAACAGCAGACAAATAACGCACGGCTTGCCACAAAAAGGTGGAAAAGGCGGCGCATACTAGAAAGGGGTAGTGGGATCAGGCACCGACGAGCGGCCCGGATAGAAAGGTCCCGGATGTACGCGGCAGCGCTGCGGTCGTATGGGCTCGAGGATCCGACTGGTTCCGAAGGCCTTTGGCGAGCAGGTTTGGCTTGCGGTTTGGCCGTTTGGCGGTATGGGACTGCGAAGTGGCTCCCGTTCTAACCTTTGCCCCGTGTTTGCTGTCGTTAGTGGGCAATGAAGTGTCATGCCGAATTAGTGTTTAATCGCGCAGCAAATGCACTGCGCCAGCCTATCCAGCACATGCTTTAGTGGCGCCTCCTCGGGCGTCGACACGGAGTGCGACAGCCGTGAGCGCTCGCTGAGCTCACTACCCCTTTTCTAGTTAACGGCCGCTCAAGCCAGGACTAAGCACGTCATGAGGGAGGTTATTATTTTTTTTGAATATTAATTTGTCTATAACTTTTAAGATAAAGCGAAATTCGAGAAAAGAAAGGTTTAATTGAGTTACTACGTTCAGTGCCCTCAGGTTTGGTGCAAATTCAAAACCAGTCTAAATGTCGTTGCAGGGTTCCTTTAAGAATAGGGTGGCCTTCATAATTTGCTTTCCTACTTAGTCACGTGGTCTACAGGTGAGTGAAATCCAGAATTAGTTGTGCTTAAAATGTTAACACCTTGGAATGGCGTGGCGAGAGAAGAAATTATTTTATTCTTCCATGCAGGAAGTTTTTTTCTTAAAGATGGCGACGACCGCTTAGAAACGTACAAACTACCAACTAGCCCAGAGTGCAAAAGTTTTCAGGCGAGGTGGTTATAGCCTCGTCCCACTACAGCGAGAAACACCGATTTTTGCCCGGCGCTGATTCTGTTCCACTGTAACGACCAACACCCACGACAAACGCCAACGAGCGAAGACAAACGATCGACGACGGACAGGGTCTTGTTTGTCCTTGAACTTGAAGCACCGCAAGCAGTCCCACCGAGGACCATCTCTCGGGGACAAACTTTTCCTCCTCCCCGCTTGTAACCCCCGTTGCCGCAGTTCCTGCAGTTCGCGTCCCTCGATTGCTCGTTGTAGTCATGGCTTGCTTGCTGGTGGTCGTGTAGCGAAAGGGAATTCGCCGTGACTGGTTTTGCTCGCGAAAACTTGGTGCGCGAGGTGGTGCTTCAAGACGCCGAGGTTTACGCCCCTGCACCATGATAAATACACCGACATTTGAGGACTGACCAAAATAAGACCGCTCGTCACGAAGTAGGGCACGATATTCCGGCAAGTCATTCCGGGAGATGGGAGACTTGTCATAGCGTTCTGTGATAATCGGAAAGCCGTATTAGCCGCCCCCCTCCCCCCCCAAAAAAAAACAAAAAAACGCACACACACACTCACAAAAAGAACCCTGCCTTTGAATATTTGCAATTCAAGTTTTAAACATCCTCAAGATCGGCGTAAAAATTTGTGGCTATCATCTAGAATGCCTCCAACGACGCCCCCCCCCCCCCCCCCCCCCGAAAAAAAAAAAATAAGTCGGCAACGGCAAACTAAGACTAGCGGAAGCTCTAGTCAAGAAATAAAGTTATCGTCTTCACTTTAACCGCGTTTGTCGGCGCGTTTTACGCCCAAAGAGGAAAACACGAAAACTGTTTCGCCAGACTCTGTCGTTCTGCGTATTTTTAAGTGTTTTGTTCACAACTCTAGCCCCTGTAGGAAACAAGTTTCCTTTTCCCCGTGTTCTGCGTCGCGTCCGCCAGGTGTAACGCGGACTTCGACAAACTGACTACCTGTCAGTAACGTTTGTCGCTCGTTGTCGTATGTCGCTGTCGTTTGTTGCTGTTTATCGCTCTAGTGGGACGCGGCTATTAGGAAACATACTGTAAACCCTGGGACAAGAAAAAAATAACATAACGAACAATATTTCACCACTTTTGCAACGCCGTGGAATCTCGTTTTAGGCAAGACAAATTAGACTAATTGGTTAAAATATAATCTTTCGTTCTTTAGACAGCTTGAGTTTAGTGTGCCAGAGTATGGCGAGATTGTTACCGATTCATGAATAAGAAATCCAAATCGAAACGGGCAATGGAGGGAATTGCACCCAGGATCTCTGGGTTCTGCAGCACGAACGTTCGCTACACGTGCTTCGAAGGTGCGTTAAAAGCGCTGAAAAGCAGAGAAAAAGAAAGAACAACGACAACAAGAGGCGCCTCGTTTTGGGGTCGTTTTTGAGTAAATTTCAGAATATAATGCTGCGGCAAACTTCGGGCGCTTTGCAGATCAACAAAAAAACAGAGGTTTGCCTTCGTAAAACCGTTCAATGAAATATAAATCCCGATGTGACTCAAATTTTGGTCTGCGGGGTAACTTCGACGCTCAGGTGTTTTCGCTTAGAATAGAGACTGGGTAAGGTAAGAACTGTGGGGGAACAGTCCGCAGAAGTACTTACTTATAATAGAGCAAGTTAGCTGTAGCGCAGGCCGAGTATATGAGGCCGAGAGTGAACCAAGACCTCGCTATATAGGCCACGAACGGCAGGAGGCAGAGCCCAAGCGTCCAGGCAATGCAGACAACACCCAGAACCAGGGTCCTCTCGCTGGGGCCCACCAGCTCCAGAACTGGGTGGGGAAGGAACGTGATGTACAGGAATTTCAAAGATGGGACCATCTCAGTGCGCCCTTTGTTAGTTGAGCACCATAACCCCCCCCCCCCCCCCCCCCCCGACTCTCCGAAGTAGAGTATAAATCTGACCTTCACAATAATTCTTTAATAGCTCTCTTTTAAACCAAATAGCACAATGACAGAGGCCACTGTCAAACCGGCCGCAGCCTCTAAATGCCAGTGTAACAATGACATAGTTCTTCGCAAACGATAGGTTCCTGAGTATCTTATCGAATTATTCTGGAATGCTATAGGCTACCAATGGTTAAGAAAATGATAAAGCATGCCATAAGTTTTTTTTTTAATGGGACCGGGGCAATAATAGCATATATTTATTAGGAATGTAAGAATAGTTCAAACTGAATAGCGCATCATCACTCCTATAGCCTTCATAGCGGAAAGGAATGTCACGGCATGCTGGCTTGAGATGACGCTTCGATACTCAATGCTAAAGGACACTCTCACACTCCTGGCATTCATTCGTGTAATATGCACACTATATACAAAATATAACTGCACGTCTAATCTTTACGTTTGAATGTCAATTTACAATAGAGAGTTCTAAAATAGCGTAAAGATCTTTGCGTACGCCCGTGTAAGACTCATGCAAGCTCTTAGCGGAACGCTGCGGAGTGCGTTAATCTAGCACTTTTAGTACAGCGAAACGCAAACGTATTCGTAATAGAGTTCCTGTATAGGCTCCCTACGGGAGCCAGAGTTGCGCATTTGTTTTCCCCGCGCCGCCACGCCGCTATTCGCCGAGATCCATCACGTGAGGAGCAAAGCATCCGGTGGCGTGCAAGAAAGCCACCTTTACGGTCGCTCCGCCGACGTTTCTCTTGCCCCGGCGTATGTTTCCCTGCTTTCCGCCTCCTTTTCCTCCTCTCCTGTTTCCCATGCGCGGCGGCGCGCGCGGCGCCGCTATTCGCCAAATTTAGTCACGTGAGGAGCAAAGCATCCAGCTCGTGCGGGAAAGCCGGCGCTACGGAGACGCGCCGAGGCTGAATGCGCAACTCTGCTACCGTAGGTAGCTATACAGGAACTCTAATTCGTAAGTACTTGTAGCGCCATCTAGATGTGCGTATGCAAACTTCTCCAAAAACTCAAAGGCCCGCATTCTGTCAAGCCAATAGACTACTTCCAAAAATCCCAGCAAACAACACTCCGCGAGTTGCGTTATGGTACCTGGGAGGCCATGAAGGGGAGTGGCTATGGTTTTGGTTTTAATCGCACCGTTGACTTGCAGTGCTGAGTGTATCTCAGCACAGCATAAAAATAAAGTCAGCGCCCACTTGCATTGCACCCATTCTTCTTTGTGAGAGTCCCCGTTGAAACAGGGATCTCCAGCGGCCATAAAAACCCCCTTAACGAGGAGATTGAAGCGTTCCGTATCAATAGGTAACACCTAAAGTGTTACAAATTTAAGAGAGTCGCCTACTCGGTCATGCAAGCATTGTATTTGGTCGTGGCGGGATGTCGTGAAATGAGCTTGGCAAATCGAAACCGAAACATAGTGGGCAACAGTATAAAAAGCTGCTTGGCGCGGCATTACGCCGCTAGTATCCCTTCGATTCTGGAAGAAATCTATTCGATGTCGTAAATCCCAGCGTTTCCCAAATAATCTGAATAACTTTCTGGGCGCCGGCTGTGACCGTGGTTTGTATTTTTCGTTTATAACTCTACGGCCATCATTTCGAGGTATGGCTTCTATTTTTCAGTCTGGGAAAGTCTCGCCCTTTCCCAGACGCGCACGATGGTAGCAACTTGAAGGGGACAGATAGAGGACCGCTGCGTAAGCACTCAAAAATGTATAGCGAGCGTACGTACGCATTGCACGCTGCGTTGCGTGCCGTTGGTGCATGCGCAGAGTGGAACACGCAACGCGAACTCAAACGCAGGGGTGTTTGCGTTTGTCTTATACGCAATACGGTCATTCTAAGCCAAACGTCCCAGGCGTGACGCTCGACCATCACCGATTCTTTCGAAAAAAAATCACGGGGGTTCCTTATCTGTTGAATAGCCACTTGCCTAAATATTTTCGTCCACAAAAAAATTGTTGGCCGCGCTAGTGCCGTTTGAATTTCCCGAAGAGGCGCGAAACTAGACTCAAGCAAACAAACTGCCAAAAGTGCAGGTCTTTAGTTTTCAACGCACAATTTTTTCTGTCCAATTCTACTGGCATTATTGTTTCATTTGAGGCCGATTTCAAATGATATAGTGTTCTTTTTTTGTTGTTTCTAATTGAAGACAAAATGCTGAAAGTGTGCCGTTTTCGAGATTTTTTTTTTTGTTTCAATTTCGGAGTTTGTATACTTGTGCTAAGAGTGTTTTCCGCATCTATTGTAGATATACTTGTTGTATGAAATAGCTTCCTACCGTAGAAAAAAAAAGTTTTTTTGTTATATTAAAAGCGTAAAGTTGCTCAAGAACGGCATTTTCGTTTAAAATAAACTGCAACTTTTGCAGTGAGGTGGTCTAAGTAAAAATATGCCAGACCACTCAAGCGATAGAGCGCCATATGAACTTGTGATTCATAAAATTTAAGCAAAATTATATTTTTTTTTTTTAAGCGAGAAAATATTTTTTGATGTTGAGCTCCCGCGACACATTGCGGAGTGGTTCCATGCGGCAACTTCACGGCACAGCGCGGCGGCGATGGACCTTATCTGAGCCCAGGCACATGATCTGAAGCTCTAAATGGGGCATGCAGCTTAAATTGCGCAGTCATAAGTTGTCACAACTTATTACTGCGCTATCAACTTACTGATAGGTCTCTTCTGGAGAAGAGACCTATCATTTGTGGGATTAAGACAGAAGACAAGCGTAACCAGAAGCTCTGATGCAGACAACGCTATCTAATAAGCGATAAAAAAAAAAAAAAAAAAAAAAAAAAACGTTTGCACTTATTTTTGTGTGTGGGCGTTGAAAACGCTGAATTTCTCCTATCTGCAGAATGGAATCTTTTCTCCATTGCAAAAGATCAGGACTTTCGTGAATCTTCATTCGGTTGCCTGCGGGCAGTGTGACAAGGCACACAGCTTTTCGCTAGCCGGCAGTGTTGCTGTTTTAGCCGTTTTTGAACTGGACAGGATCGTAACTACGACCTTACTAAGTACACAAGCTCTATTTGCAGAAAAGTACATCTTGTAGCCTAAAATAGAGGGCGTGAGCTAAACAATACGAATAGTTCATTTGCAAGCACATTGATGGCCCTAGGTGATAGCTAGCACTAGAGTTCCTGTATAGGATCCCTACGGGAGCCAGAGTTGCGCGTTCATTCCTGTAGCGCCGTCTTCCCTGCACGAAATGTTGATCCTGCCCCTCACGTGACTGAATTCGGCGAATAACGGCGCCGCGCGTCCGAGTCGCACGGCGCGCTCAAAAGCAGGGGAACGTATGCCGGGGCACGCGCAACGTCTACTCTCCTGCACGGCACTTGACCCGGCTCCTCACGTGATCGGATCTCGGCGAATAGCGGCTCTGCTGCGCGTGGAAGACAGACGCGCAAGTCTGATTCTCGTAGGGGCCTATACAGGAACTCTAACTAGCACCAGAGTATGCGCCTCGGCTCAGGTAAGGTCCATCGCCGTCGTATTTATTGCCAAGTAACTTCATTACTGCTTACCGATCAGGATTAGTGACAAAGCGCACGGGACATCCTAGAGAATCTATCCCCGTCTCTTCCGCCATCTTGGAACTACTGCCCCGCTATCCGTAGGATGTTGGAGTTGCGAAAAGTGTAAACGATGAAATAGTCTCACGCATGATGTGGGGCAGCTGAAACATTTGCGGCTCGATGCTGGCGTGGATGGCTCGCAGGACGATGAATGCAAAGAAGTGTGTCGCCATGATGGAAGATAATCCGAACACTGCAGCGACGAGCACGAGCGCAAAGAAGGTGTACTTCCGGCCAATCCTGAAACGGGCAAGGTGCTACAGTCGAAAACATCTTTAAGACAACTCTCACTGTTTGCCTCTCTTTGGTTAGGACTTACTCGTTTTCCTAATCTTTTGATGTACAGGCTCCCACGATTTGAAATACCCGTTCGCAGAAGAAGTTCATCTGGCGGTGCTAAGCCTACCTAGGCCAGTGGCACTTTATTTAAAAAAAATAAATAATGGTACTCATTTTCTTTTTTATTACACTTTAAAAAAAAGATATTGAAACTACTTTTCTTTTTTATTACACATCCCAAGCATTGTGGGCCCGGCCAAAGCGCATTCCTAACAGCCGCCTAATATTACCTGATAAAGTGGGACTCTTAAATTAGAGGAGATGCTGCGTTTACTAAAAAATAAGGCCGTTTTTATAAACAACACCTTTTGCGTGGCGTTCTCCACTCGGCGCGCGGTGAAACGGTGATTGCTATGAGATACTGAAAAAACAGAAAACTAGAAAATGACGGTGGCACACGTAAAGTCAGTCATCTAGAACGAAATTTGAAACACATAAACTTTGTTCTCAGGACTCTGGCGGAACTGGCTGCTTTGAGACAAGCTGTTGTATAGGTGCACCTGTAGCGGACAATCGATAAGCATTTGCGTGGCGCTATACGTAAGCCTATCTGCTCAAAATGTATGAAAAAGCACAACCAAAAACGTACGAGCCTCGTCTATAATTCTGCTCAGCAATTTTCTTATTCTTACTACTTTACCCGTTAGCTCCGAGACTGTGGAAACACCCTGCGTACACTGCGCGCTATATTTAGCTTCAGCACATGATTGACATGTTATCTCAGATCACTCACAGAAAAGCGCATATCATCGAATAGTTCTACTCAATTTAGTGTTGTATATTAGTGTTTGATGGCACACTAAACTTCATTTCACCTTACGATGTGCCGCAACGGACACTACAAGTCATCCTCTAGCCAATTCGGTGCTTCCCACGTAGCACGTGACTTCACGCTCTGTGCGTCGGTCTGTGCAACCAGGAGGTCACCTGAAATGCTTATGGCTTGGCTCCGGCGACTTGTAGCATCCGCTGCGATACATCCTAATGTGTACCAGAGCCCCTAGATCTTGTGAGCGAAATGGTGTTCGCACTGACGGTCATGTACAATACTGTATTTTGCTATACCATGTCCTGAAGTATAGGCTTGAAAGGGAAGTTCACAGCACAATGAGCTTACATTTTCCGGTGAGTCTGCTGAACTACGGATTTCAGTCTAGATAATACAACGCCCTTTCATAAAGAACACCCTTGGTGTGCAATGAGCTGAACAAAATAGGGCGACCTCACAAGCCACTTTGACTACCCCACCACTGCCGCAATGCATTGAGGGAACTTGCCTTTCTGCACGTGCGACAACACCGCTTGAGCTTTGCGCGAGTGGAGCACGAGACGGCACGAGCCCCCGCGTGCTCGGCCGTCTGCCTCCTGTGAACTAAACTTATGGCGGCATCACGCACGCGCCGAACGCTTAGTGAGATTGGTCTATGAGACAGCGTTTCAACCGATTGACCAATCTAGCCCAAGTTGTTGGTGACGCAATCCTGGCTTCGGCAGATCAGATCGCATGTCTCCCCTCATCTAGTGGGAGCGGTGTTCATAGTGTCCTTCCTCTTATGCCTCCTCGAGTTTCTCACTTTTGGCATGCGATTTTGAACGTGCATGAATGCCGTATGTGCTGGAAGTTCACTGTAAGAGTGACATAGTAACATATTTTATTACGAAATAAATGATGATTGTATCCTATTGTGAGAAAAAGTCTGACCAACAGTTTCTAAAGAAATACAGAATATCTCGAATTCACTTTCTTTTTTTCACGTTACTGCACTTTCTTGAATCGCACTACCGCTGAGCAGGGTGCTATATATTTCATTCAAAAAGCTCATATGAAACTTATCGCGTACCATAAGAAGCACGCGAAACTTGCTGTTGAAAACAACGAGCTTCGTGAGATCGAGCAAACAAAAAAAATGCAATCATATGTTTACTCACTTGTCTGACAGGATGCCAAATAGAATAGTTCCGACTGTGCAACCAACGCTGCTCATGGTGAACACAAGACTGGGCAAGTGATCCCGGTCGCACACTAAGTCCCACTGAAAGAAGAAATAAAGACAAACGCCAGACACATTTAATGATGAGAAGTCAGTTATTATGGCCGGTGTAATTAGTCTGCCAGATTAAAAGGAAGACTGAGTGACTCAACTCGCAGATGTCTGGATGACGACCGAGATGGTTTTAGTCATTACAACTATAAGAACATTCGCACGCGTTTGTTGGATTACGTTTGGAACGTAGAACGCCGAGATAAAGATGCATGTTACCGCAGCAACCAAGTTACACAATACTTGGTTGCGGTACTGGCAACTCGCTGTCGTATGTCGAGGTAAGCTCCCTTGCAGTTCCGTCAAGCGTAAGCAAATGACTACAGTGTGAAAGGTCCGGATCGGTCCCGTTCCTGAGGTCGGTGGGGGACAAGGAAGTGCCAGAGTGTCTGCCATCGATTGTTTCTCCCATTCTTTTGACAAGAATTGACCCATATTTGGGCAGTGGTTAAATAGACCGTATCAAGAACTTACGCTGCACATGTTCGGTTGCAGTATGTCTTTAATTAACTGACTGGTTCTATTTGCCCATTTAGAATTCCTTCGTAAAAAAATCTATTAGCCATTTGATTTATGGAATCACTCGAATATTTCCTTTGTTACTCTTATAAAGAAGTTTTGTGCCTCTTCTTTTCCGAAGAGCGGATGTACGACAATCATTGCGGTCTACACATTGAAACTATTCATAATGATGGCGCAAAGAAATCGAACGTCCGCAGAAAAAAATTCAATTTGGGCTGCAAAAGAGCATACGGTATGTATCACGCGTCAATAATCCTCCCAAAGTGCAGGTTTTTATTGCACCGTAAATTTACTGAAAATCGTCATTTATCGGGCTCAATTAGTATTTCAGTTTTCGGCTGGACGCCTGATTTCAGACAAAGACCGCGAGTAGGTGTTTTGTTCATAAACAGGGCACAGAAAGCATTGGAGTAACCATAGTATTCTTAGCCTTACATATAACATATCGAGCTATTATTTCGTACAGACGTGGAAGAATATGATGCATTCTGTTATATGCTATTATATCAATTGGCGTGGTTGACCTTTGTATTTATGCTTCCAGGTGTATTTACATGAGAGCCCATTGTTTATTTTTAGGCACGGTCGGCTGTTGGACTGTTGTTTTCTGTATATTTGAAGTGGTTTTTCACTCCTACCATGTCTCCAAATATGAGTAGGTAATATTTATAAATGAATAGATATTCTGTATTACGATCAAAAAAATGGTCTAGAACGGGCAAATAATAAGAAAATTAATAGCGTGAATTGGCTACCCAATGGCGGCCCTCTGCAAGGGAAAGACGTCTGGGAGAAGCAACTGCCAAGGGATGACGGCGGCAATTGATGTATCGATGATGAAACGATGAAACGGCAAGTGTTCTCAGAATCGCTGGCATGACTGATGTGCAAAAATAACGAACTGAAACGTAACTAATTCCTCAGATAACACACAAAGACATGATGATGGAAGAATTTCAGCCAGAGTGTGACTACTTTGATTGTTAAGCATTCAATAAAAAAGTATAAAAAAGCTGATGGTCAGTTCTATACAATACATCTAAACGTGAGAAGTTTTAAAAATAAAATTGACATTCTCGGAATAATTTGCACTCTCTGAGTGTGGAATCTAGTGCTATTGTACTCACAGAAACCTGGTTAACGAAAAATGACAAACCACCATATCTACACGGATACAAGTGTGAAAGTTTGTGCCGAGAAAACAAAAGGGGTGGCGGTATAGCTATATATCTCAAAGATAACTTGCGGTACCAGGTTATGGAAAATCTAACGATAATGAATAAAGATATAGAAAGCTTACTTGTTGAAGTCTCGAACACCATAGTTGGTGCTTTGTACAGGCCACCGTCTGGCAATGCGTATGAATTTATGGCTTTTATTGAAACTACGCTGTGTCTTCATGGATCTGTATCCGCCTCATTTATAATTCTCGGGGATATAAATATTAATACGCTATCGGACGATCACCACGCGAGAGAATTCCGAGATGTCATTCACCAGTATGCATGAAGCCATATAATAACAGTACCAACCGGAGTCACTTCAGACACAGCAACATCCCTCGGCATCTGCCTCATGAACGTAGATATAAATCATGTTACGGCCGGTGCTATCTTATACGATATTAGTGACCATCTACCCATATCCTGTATAAGGTCTTTTACAAATTGGAAACTAAATCGTGGTATGAAAAAGTTTTGGCAGCGCATAATAAACGAAGAAACGCTTAGTACTTTTGCCTGCCTAATAGAGCAGGAAAGTTGGGTCGACGTTTATAGAGAATGCAATCCTACAGTGGCCTATAAAAGCTTGTTGACGAAATTCAAACACTGTTATGATGCTGCTTTTCCTCTCTAGGAAAGTAAGCAAGGGCCTAGAAAGATTAGAAAACCGTGGATAACTGGCAAACTGTTTAAAATAGTACAAAAAAAAACTGCATGTATCATGCTTTTATAAAAAATCCTGATCCCGCTCTATTGGATGACTTCAAAAAGTTTAGAAACAAATCAAACTCCGACTTAAAAAAAAACAACAACAAAGTGTGAATATTATCAAAATAAATTTTTGCATATTCCCAATGACAACAAGAAAGTGTGGGATATATTTAACGAGCAGGAAGCAAACACGCAGCAGCATGAAGGAAATCTTGACGAATAACAAAAGTGTTGTCGGTACAGAACTTGCTGATAAAATGAATCGGCATTTTATCAGCATAGGCACGTGCACAGGAAAAAATGCAAGCTCGAATAACTGCATGTTGGCAGGAAATCAAATGGAATCCATCATGCTTTTTCCAACGACACCAACTGAGATTGATAAGATAATGGGTAGTCTAAAAATGATGTTGCAGCTGGTGACGATGAAATAAAAGTGCTACCAATTAAGTGCACCGCGGACATAATAGGTCCTCTGTTATCCCACATAATAAATATGATGCTTGAGTGCGGTAATTTTCCTTATGAATTAAACATTACGAAAGTAACTCCTGTCTACGAGGGTGGCGGATAGACCTCATTAAATAATTATAGGCCCATTTCAGTACTCCCGGTTTTCTCCGAGATTTTCGAGCGTGCACTCAATGACAGGATAACAGCTTTTTTTTAAATATATCATATAATAACTCCTGCTCAGTATGGTTTCCAAAAAGAAAAGTCTGCAGAATCAGCGCTCATCGACATAAAAGATACAATTGTTGAAAACATTGAAAACAAATTTGTCACACTGGGATTCTTTTTTGGTTTAAAAAAGGCGTTCGACGCTGCACAACATGATATTTTACTTAAAAAACTTGATATGTATGGTATACGAGGAATAGGGCTAAAATTAATTAAAAGCTATCTAAATGAACGGTACCAATATGCATTCTTAGGTAATGAGTCATCTAGGAAAAGGAAAATAAAACATGGCGTTCCCCAAGGCTCTATTCTAGGGTCTCTGATATTACTTGTCTATGTAAACGATATAACAAAAATACCTGGCTCCCCTCAGGTAATGATTTACGCAGACGACACAAATTTATTTTTTGCTGGTGAGACAAAACAGATCGTAGAGAAATTAGCCAATGATTATCTTATAAAACTCTCAAAATGGTTAGAAACAAATCGTTTAGGTCTAAATACCAGTGAAACAAAATATGTTATTTTTAAGCCGATAAACAAACGCGATCAGAGTACTATCAACATAACATTTGGAGGTTATTTGCTGGATTACGCTTCAGAGCAAATATTTTCGGGGGTGCGGTTCACGAGGACCTCTCTTGGTCAACTTACGTTAATATCCTCAAGGCTGAACTGACCCGAGTTACTGGAAGCATATGCAAAGTGCAGAATTGACTACCGACCTGGTTTAAACAAACATTGAACTACTCCCTATTTTACTTGAAAATGAGCTATGGCATCTTGGTTTGGGCAACTGCGACAGAAAGTAATTGCAACAAACTAATTGTCTTGCAAAAGAAAATCTTGTGTATGTATGAAAATTATAGAGGAGACAGAAGAAATTTAAGCATGCAGCCACTTTTTAATAAATATAATATGCTAAAAGCAGATCAAGTATTTATTTTAAACAATTACAATTGATGCACCAGAAAGAAGCTTTACGCTTCACCAACATACGATCTGATCACGTACATTATTCGAAACCCAATAAGAAAGATGCCGGCAATAAGAACTAACTACGGCCGACAAAGTCTAAATTTGCAGATAAATAAAAAAAATAAATAGAAAAGATACGTCCGTAGATTTTTATCAACCTTTTAATAGCTTTAAATGCGCTTGTAGAAGGATGCTCGTGTCAAGTGAAATTGCTTTTTCATCTTTGTTAGTTTCTGTAAACTTCATGAGTATTATAAATATGTCTCATTTTTGTGCGTACTTCCATTGCTTTTTTCTTGATGTTTAAGTGTGAGAGGAAATCCTTTATTGGGCTCTTTTATTAATACCGCTATGTTGTGGCTGATATTAGTGTGATGTATTGTATACTTGTATTTCTTGAATTCCACAACGGAAGCATGTCTTTGTTCCTGGTCGTTTTCGACGATCAGTGTCGTCTATTTTTATTTTTCATGGTATATGGAACTTCAATTTTGATTATATATTTTTTTAGAATGTTGCACGAGTGTTTCGATCTATTTTCTTCTAACAGACCGGCTTGGTAAATAGCGCATTTTGTTCTATGACGTATTTGCCACTGTGCTTTTGTACTGCACTGCTGAACTGTACCGGGGGGGGGGGGGGGGGGGCAGAGACCCTGTCAGGCACCAAACCTTTATCTCTGCCCCATACGCGGAACTTTCCGCAAAACAAAATAAAATAAAAAAGAATAGCCCGACAATAAAACTTACTTGCAAATGTTGGTATAGTGCATAACAAAATCATGCAGCACACCAAAGGGGCCCGAGCCACATTTGACTCAAATACATCGTCTGCTATCGTAGATTAGTGCATGCGCCCTCTCTTACCAGGATCCACCAGTCGACTTTTGTGCCGATCAGACGCTTCTTGTTAGCAGACGGACGCTGTAGGTCGCAAAACAAGGTTCTTACATTTTTACTCATTACGCAGGTAAGTTGTGATTTCAAATGTTGATGCCTAAAGTGCCCTGTCTGTGACCACATATGAAGCAAAATTTGGCTTGATATGTTAAGAAGACGATTTATACGGTTAGTTAAAAGAGCCAGAAATTCATTTGGCTCACGCGGTGGAAGAGTTACCGAAAAATTCCAACCTTCGTTCCAGCGGTGCTGGCGTAGTCTGTGTCGTCGTACGTAAATTGCGTACAGGGTACCCTCCGCTTGTCTGGTAACGCCAGCGTTGTTTCGTTCTCGTCCTCAGCGTGTCGAAGGTAATCTTGAATGAAGCTGGCGTTGAAAGCGGACAGGGACAGGTAGCAGTTGTCGCTGCTTACCACAAGGTCGCGGAGATGTAGAGCTTTGCTTTCTGTTAGGTTCAAGGTCTTCACAGAACTCGGGAGAACGCAAGAGTGTTCAGGCACCGACAACATAAAGATGAGGCCGAAGAAGTATCCTGGAACTAACAGGGACACCGGTGCCAAGTAAAGCCATAATAATGTCTTCTGGAACCTGCCGAAGCCACCGATGCTTTCGATGACGTCTTCGAATTCTGTATCGGCCATTCCAGCAAAACCTGCAGTTAACAAAAAACAAAACGCAAAAAAAAAAAAATAACGGCATAAAGCACTTAAAGATAATAAACTAACATACTAATAACATAACATTGTATGGTAAAACCGCCCGGCACGCATCGGATTTAAAAAGAGGATTTTAGTGCTTAGGAGACCACGCCTGATAAAGCTACAAGATTGGGGTCTTCAGCACGTCCGCCAAGGTTTTTTTTGAGCGTTCGCAGCGGTATTCCTTATTTTTTTAACTATACTACCTTATGTTGTCACGAATATAAAAAGCAGGCGGACGTAAAGCGATCAATACAAGTTTTATGCGGCGACTTTGTGCCTGCAACAAAAACTTACATGACACCGCGTACAATCTGCGGCGGCGACGGAGAAGCGACTACATCAAAGCAGCGCGCTACAGCTGCTTCGAGATAGATGCTAGCTGCTTCACGCTACAGCTGCTTTGAGGTAGCACAGTGTCACAGCGAAATGTACCGTGCCACTGAGCTGGGCACGCATGCTGAGGGTCTGATGTTTTACATAAGTCGACTAGGCGTACGGTCAGAACAGCCTGGCATTCTTCGCCTTCACAATAGGCGCTGGGAATACGTATACCCGTTTGCGCTTAGGAAGGTTATAAACTAGAGCACGATAACTGCAGAAAATAAACTGGAGCATTATAAGACTGCAGCAAAAGGTAAAAGAAAAAGAAACAAAAAAGTTAGCCGGCTGGGTTTGAAGCCATGGGCATCCGCATGGCAGCTACGTACGCTGCCAATTTCGTCACTCATGGGGCAATTTGGCTGTACGCATTTTCGGATTAAAAGAAATATTTTTGGATTAAAAACAAAGAGAAAAAAAGTTGATAAAACTACATATATGTGGTTTTTTTTTATTCCTGTGTCACGCGTCATGCAAGAGTTATTTATTTTTGCTGTTAGCGCATATTTTCCTCAGCTGATGTTTTCATGGGCACGTACCTTGAATGCGAGTAACCGATGTTTCTTTTATCATATTCTGGGCTTGCTTTTGTTTGAGTGTGTTTTCCTGCGTGCTTGCGTTTTTCTTGTTTTTTTGGTACATATGCACGAGTGTATTTCTACCTTCAACTCTATGTACCCCCCCCCCCCCCCTGGAATAATGCCCTCGGGCGCTGCGGGGTAGCCCGAAATAAATAAATAGATAAATAAATAAATGTGTGAAACGAATTTCTTATACAACGTGTTTGTGCATGGCCTAGGGTAGAATGCCTGCCCAATTGCCAGTTCCCAGCTATCACCACAAGGGTGCGCCGCTTCCCCATTCCAAGCAGAAAATGCATGCGCCGTTAATAGTGAGTTTTAGTATTGCGCATGCGATTAAGTGGAAATGCTGTGCTTTTGCCTTAGCGTTGTGTTCTCCACTCTGCGCATGCGCGAAGTTGCCATGCGCCACTCCAAGGCCGCAGTTTGGGTTCCGCCGTACGCGCAGTGTGAAACACGCAACGTTAACGCAAACGCACAGGACTTTCGTTCGCTCGTATACGCAATACTAAAACTCACTAATAGCTCTTTCTCATGCGTTCTTGCATTCTTTGTGCTGTCTCTGACATCGGTCGTGGTAGCTGTGGTCAAGAACGTGCCGGGGCTGTCACTTCTCAAGACCCAAACAACACCCGGGACCATGGAAAGCGAATGAAGCTCATTTCGAGGAAAAACAGCGTCCTAAATTCTACCTGCTGCTACTCAACAATATGCGGCAGGCACCTTTTTGCAACTTAGGCCTGTCTGGTCCCCATTTATGCATTCTACTTAGGCTTCACTCAAAGCCCAGCTTGGTTCGGGCCTCCCTGGGCCCGTTTCCGCGAAGCTGGTTAACTTTAACCGCGCCCGAAAGTTAACCGTATTACCACACGAGGGGGAATTTTAGATCACGTGACCAGCGGAGTATAGGGATGGCGGGGAAGGGAAACATGGCGGTGCCCCTCCGGACGAGCGTCGCTCGCTTTGGAACTAATATGTAGCACTAGCTGCACTATCAGGCACGTTTTCTAGCAATGAATGGTGCAGGAGGCTTTCGCTTTCCCTTACCTCACTGACATCGCAGAGCATGAGCAATTATCTCACCGTAATTCTAGATTGTCTTTCGATTGTTGCCATTCCTAAGCCTAAAGGGTCGCGGTAATTATCGACATGGCAACGCCTTTGGAGTCCTAGTGGATTGTCTTGACTCGATTGGCCGGACATTTATGGCACGCCGAATTAGACCGTGCTCCAATTTCCATTAGAGCCGGAGTACGCGATTTTTAGTTTTTTCCCTACTAGGTACTTGTACATACCTAGTAGAGAAATGCGGTCAGCTTACTACCACGGTTAATGTTAACTGGCTTCCAGCAAACGGGTCCTGGTGCCAAAACTGAACAAGCCAATGTGCTCTTCCAGGTCCTCTTTCGGTGCTGCTTAGCTGGCACTTAGTACTTACCTGCTCAGAACTTTCTCGCGCACCTCAAAGTAGTGACGGGTGCCTGACGACAGGCACACTGCGTCTGTCCCTAACGTGAGCCCCAGAAGAGCTATATCTTCCACACTGCTTCGGTGACTTCGTAGCGGTTGTAACCCCAGATGACCCTGGCCGTTGCAATTCCTCTTCGCCTTTTGCTCTTCGTCTGGTCCTTGTCTGCAGAAATAAAAACTTTCATTGTTCGCCGTTTTGAGATTGTAAAAGTTTACCAGCTCGTCTGCATTTTGCGTTGGGTCATACCTACCGCCCACGGCATTTATTCACGTGTGGAAACTACATATGTTGCTGCTCTCCCGCTATGAAATATCGGTTCCGAAAGCAATGGAACTACGTATGTTCCGGTAGCAGCCAGTGCGCAGGGTACAAGTATCACATTCATTGTATGAAGGGATGGCGCCCATGGCGGTGGTTGCGCGAAGCATGAGCAACGGCGCCAAAGCATGGGGAAGCTAAAGATTGGGCAGGCATTATAAGTATAAAGGAGGCTATGGTTTGTGGCAGTGTAATTCATCTTTAATAAAATCTTCTTTTGACAAAGTTAGTCTGTTTTACACAGAATGCCCAAGTTAGTCTATTTCAAACAAATATTCCGTAAAAGACGAACACGTTTTTAAAAATCGGCACTTTTCCCCACTATTGTGGGAGAGGCAGTGGTAACACCGAATGTCAAGCGGCGTCGATGTAGATGGAGTTGCAGCGCCGCCATATCTGGTGGGCCTCTCTGCCGGCATAAGTCTAAGAACGAGACATGCTGGAAAGGAGAAGATCAGAGTCACGCAGCGCTGCGGCCTCCTCCCTAACAACCCTACACAAAAATGCACCCAGGTAAATATAGATAAATATATAAAAATAAAAAAAAGCGTTTTCGGTAGAAACGCTAAAAGCCCGGAGCTCGGTCGGTCAGAGCGTGGAAGGAGTAGCACCCGTCGCTGGCGTTCGTCAACACCCTAAAAAAAACAGAACGCCTTCCTAAGAACTTTTTCAGCTCGCGAAGAACGGTTTCGTCTCAAACACTATCGCCCCCTGACGCACTAGAAAGGCAACTGGCGAAGATGAACTTTTTCGTTAGAGAAGGTTCTTCATGAAGAAATCTTTTCTTAGTAAAAGTACTTTATAATTTTTGTTTTTTCGCTTTGGAGCAGCATTGATCTTAAATGACGTCACGTGGTATACCCTGCGTTTGCATTAATGTCATTAGAATGTATAAAAATAATATCATATTAAAGAAGGTTTAAGTAACACTACTTGTTGTAAGGACCTTTTCAACTAGATTACTTCACAGAAACGCGACATTGTTCCTGAGTGTTCACCACATTAGGTTACAGCAAAAACGTTTCGCGGGATGCACAGCATGCACGACAGTAAGAGAGAGACTAATGCTACACGAAGCGAATGGCTTCCGTGGGGCAAACAACGTGAAAGAAACTACTTACGTTCTAAAGGAGCAGATAGTCCAACAAGTCATGAAGTTTACGTGAATGTTTGGAACAGAGACCGCAATACAGTAGAGCTAGGCGCTTCGTCGACGACACGCTAAATGTCTCGCAAAAACCTGGGCCTAACTGCACGTTGGTAGCAGGGACTGTGCGCACCACAGCACTGCGGCTAAATGAGGAGTGATTGCGAGCTCTCGTACCTTTATTTGAACCTAGTGCTAAAAAAGTGAAAGCCGTTTACAACTCCCTGTAACGCCGAATTAGAGCGCAGCTCTTGAGGAGGAGGAGGGAAGGGTACTGGGGGGTCAAGTGACCTTGGGTGGGGGTCACGTGACCTAGGGGGGTCACGTGACCTAGTGGGGTCACGTGACGATGACGATGCTGATGACGTCATCAGTAACAATGACGATGCGGATACCGATGATGTCATCAGAGAGGATGACAATGACGATGCGGATGCCGGTGACGTCATCAGTGATGATGACGATGACGATGCGGATGCCGGTGACGCCATCAGTGACGTCACTGATGACGTCATCAGCGACGATGACGATGCGGATGCCGGTGACGTCATCAGTGATGTTGATGATGACGATGCGGATGCCGGTGACGTCATCAGTGACGTCACCGATGACGTCATCAGTGATGATGACAATGACGATGCGGATGCCGGTGACGTCATCAGTGATGATGATGACGATGCGGATGCCGGTGACGTCATCAGTGATGATGACGATGACGATGTGGATGCCGGTGACGTCATCAGTGATGATGACGATGACGATGCGGATGCCGGTGACGTCATCAGTTACGTCACTGATGACGTCATTAGCGATGATGACGATGACGATGCGGATGCGGGTGACGTCATCAGTGACGTCACTGATGACGTCATCAGCGATGATGACGATGACGATGCGGATGCCGGAGACGTCATCAGTGATGATGACGATGCGGATGCCGGTGACGTCATCAGTGACTTCACTGATGACGTCATCAGTGATGATGACAATGACGATGCGGATGCCGGTGACGTCATCAGTGATGATGACGATGACGATGTGGATGCCGGTAACGTCATCAGTGATGATGACGATGCAGATGCCGGTGACGTCATCAGTGACGTCACTGATGACGTCATCAGCGATGATGACGATGACGATGCGGGTGCCGGTGACGTCATCAGCGATGATGACGATGCGGATGCGGATGCCGGTGACGTCATCAGTGACGTCACTGATGACGTCATCAGTGATGATGCCAATGACGATGCGGATGCCGGTGACGTCATCAGTGATGATGACGATGACGATGCGGATGCCGGTGACGTTATCAGTGACGTCACTGATGACGTCATGGGGGTCACGTGACCCCGGGGGTCACGTGACTTGGGGAGCCACGTGACCTTGAGGGTCACGTGACCCTGGGGAAGGGGTCACGTGACCTTGGGGAGTCACGTGACCCCCGATGACCCTTGGGGAGGGGTCACGTGACCTTAGGGTGACCTTGGGGCACGTGACCTTGGGATGACCTTGGTTACGTCGACGCCGACGGCGATGCCGCTCAAGCCGGGAACGGGCCCCTAAGAGCTGCGCTCTAAAACACAGGTGGAGCAGGCGAGACCCGTTGGTCGTCAACCGGCCGAACCGTTGCCAACGTCCGCCTTTCCAACCGAGCACCGAGAAAGACGCGAGCGGAGCGGCGGAGAGCGTTTTCAGATTTTATTTATTTATTTATTTATTTGGAAATACTGTCGGCCCTCACTTGAGGGTCATTACAGGGAGAATTTTATAACAATACAATTACATACACAAAAAAGCCGCGGAATTTACAAGGAAAAAGCCAGCAGACACAACTCTTTTTGGAAGAAACAAGAAAAAATATGACATTCTACATAGTATTAAAACAACAACAACAACAACAGTTTTCACCCTTCAAATGTCCTGTTTATGCTCCTATTGGCTTAACAACTGTGCGATAGACTGCTCAAAGGAAGACACCGTTTCAATATTTACAATCTCGCTGGGCAATTGATTCCAGGCTTCGATTGTTCTAACAAAGAATGACTGTTTAAACGTATCAATTCTACTTTTGAAAGTTTGGCACGTTTTTGTATGGTTTAATCTACTGGATCGTTTTGAACTTGAGGGAAGAACGTATTTACTTGAACTTAAGTTCAATTTGTCGTTAATTATTAGAAAGAGCAATTTCAAGCGTGCGATTTCTCGTCTTATGTGCAAGGGCTCTAGATTGCTATTTCGGAGCATTTCCGTTGGGGATGCCGTCTGTCTATAGTTACAGTGAATAAAACGTGCTGCTTGTCGTTGAACTTTTTCTAAACTCTCAATGTCTTTCTTTGTGTAAGGGTCCCACACGACACTAGCATATTCCAGGATGGGCCTAACGTATGTTTTGTAAGCTACTGTCTTTATCTCTTTTGTTGCGTGTTTTAATTTATGTCTAAGAAAACAAAGCTTTTTATATGCCGATGAACAAATATTGTCAATGTGTTTAGACCAGGTTAAATCTCTCGTAAAAGTAACGCCGAGGTACTTGAAACTTTCCACATTGCCCAGTTCTGTATTTCCAATGCAGTACTGAAATGGAAGTGTGCTCCGTTTTTTAGTTATGTGACAATATACAGATTTAGTAAAGTTTATTTTCATATCCCAGTGGTCGCACCATTCTTCTATATGATCCAGATAGTCATTTAGAGCTCTTTGTTGATCCTGAGATTTAATTGCTGAATAAATGATGCAATCATCTGCAAAAAGCCTAATATGAATATGTGGTGGTGTTCCGTGTGCTATGTCGTTTATGTACATCAAAAACAGTAGGGGCCCTAAAACAGAACCTTGCGGTACACCCGAATATACCGGAAGGGAATTTGAAACATGCCCGTTAATTTCAACACTTTGACTTCGATTTGTTAAATAAGAATTTATCCAATTTATTATCATTGGCTCTATTCCGAAAGTTTTGAGTTTTGACAAAAGCTTCCTATGTGGCACCCGGTCAAAGGCTTTAGAAAAGTCTATAGAAATTACATCCAGTTGCTGTTTGTCATTTAATATGGATGCCATGTCATGAGCCGTTTCAACCAGTTGTGTTACTGTTGACAGTCCAGAGCGGAACCCATGTTGTTTGGAATAAAGCAACTGATTAGTATCGAGGTGATGTAATATGTGTTTGGCTATTATATGTTCCATAACTTTGCAAGCTACGGATGTTAGGGAAATCGGTCTGTAATTGTCTATGGTCAGCTTGTCTCCTGCTTTAAAGATTGGAACGACTCGTGCACAACGCCAGTCCGTGGGAAGTTGCGATGACTGCAATGAACTCACAAATAAGCAATGTAGATAAAACGACATCCATTCGGCGTACCGCCTTAAGAACATATTAGGTATCTTATCGGGGCCAAACGCTTTTTTTGTGTCAAGGTCTAACAACTTTGATAAGATTCCTTCTTTTGTTATTATCAATTCTGGCATAGTGTGTACGGTATCATAACCTTGCTCAAATCCTGACCTTGCATTTATATCACTGTCATTGCATGCATTTTGCTCCGTCAGTTTTTCCCCATTGTTCTCGTTATTTTCGTGCTGTGCCTCGCGTGTGAATACCGACTGGAAGAACAAATTGAAGCTATCTGCTAGTACACTGGTGTCAGTTATTACCCTTCCGTCTAATGTGATCTGCTCTATGCTTTCTTTTTTTGGATTTAGATGTCGCCAGAATTTTTGGGGGCTGTTTTTTAGAAAGTTTTGAAGCGTTACTGTGTAGTAACTGTGTTTAGAGGCTTTCACCATATCTTTAAGTTGTTGACTTAATTGTCTCATATTAACACTGTTACCGTTCTTTTTTCTACACCTTTTCAGTCTGCGTTTAATGTGTATTATATTTCTTGTGATCCACGGATTATTTCTTTTCGTCTTTTTTATCCTGTTCGGTACATATTTATTAATGCAATAGAAAACTATCTCCTTGAAGCAGTTCCATGCACTCTGAACATCACCACTGTGGCACAATAATTCAAACGAATTAAATGATAGTTCTAAATAGTCAATAATACTTGTGTCGTCGGCACTTTCAAAGTCCTTGTATATGAGTCTACACGGCACAGAAGTCACAGCTGTTTTGTCACATTTTATAGTCAATAAAACCATCTTATGGTCAGATATGCCATCAACCACAGATACCTTATAGTCAGCAATATTATCACTTAAAAAAATTAAGTCCAGCACAGATTGGGTAGTATCGGTTACTCTAGTGAAGTCCTTAACCACTTGGGTAATACTGTGGCCGAAGGCAATCTCAAGCATTTTTTCACAATTTGCTTTGTCCACACTTCCAGCATGCAAAAGGTCCCAGTTAACATGAGGTAAATTAAAGTCACCTGCCAATACTATTCTCGTATTATCATTAGCATATGTATTAAGGACAACATCCAAATCCTCAAGAAACCTAATAGGGCTGTTCGGGGCACGGTAGGCTGCGACGACAAAAAAAGATAAATCACCATATTTTATTTTACAAAACAGCATATCATCCAAACAATGATCTAAGACTACACATTGCATATTAATCTTAACAGCGATAGCAACGCCACCTCCACGAGAAGCCCTATCTTTTCTTATTAATTTGTAGTTTGGGGGAATGACACAGTCACTCTTTACATCCGATGTAAGCCATGTTTCTGTCATGATAACAATGTGCGGGGATTGACACAGCAATATACTTTCCAGGTCGGCAACTTTATTCAGTATACTTCGTGCGTTTAGATTGATTACTCTTAATTCTGCAGGAACATTCGCTTGGTTATCAAGTCATTCGCCCCTTGCACTGTGGATTCTTGTAGGGAATCGTTGATCCTGCTTCAGATCCCATTCAAAGGTCTGATTATTAATTTTGAGTTTGTCATGCACTAGAAACACTTCATCCCCATTGGCTTTGTTTTCCGAGGCAGAGTTCCATAGTTTCTTACGTTTTTCTCGGGTCTCTCTGGCATAGTCGCTACTTACACTAATCTTCGTCCCTTTTAACTTTCTGCAATTCTTTAGCACGGCTAACTTTTCATTATAATTAAACAGCTTTATTATGACTGGCCTGCATGATTCGTTTCGTTTATATCCCACTCTGTGAATCCTTTCAAGGGACGCGATTTGAACACCAAGTTTAATCTCAAATAGTTCTTTTATCACCTTCTTTTTCAGATCATCTTCACTTTCTTTGTCTACTTCTGGTATTCCAAATACTAGCAGATTGTTCCTGCGGCTTCGGTTCTCGAAGTCAGTCAATCGGTCGTTCTGATATTCTATCGTTTTCTCGAGGCTTTGAACCTTCTTCTCAATTTCTTTTACGTTTTCATTCAGAGCCTGAACAGTTTTCATTGTGATCTCAATTTTGTTGATTTTACTGTTAATCTCATTTACACTAGCTTCTAGGCGTGACTGGTTAACTTTCATATTCTCTTGGTTTGTTCTGATTTCTTTTATGTCCTCAGCAATTCGGTTCTGGTTAGATAAAATCTGGCGTACCATATCCTCAACGTTTCCGTCAGGCCCAGGGTTTTCCTCTACGTCTCCGGACAGTAAAAGTTGCCATTTACAGAACAATACCACAACATCCCAACATTCTGACAGAATTTCATGGCACTTTTGAGGACCCGGCAGGACAAACAAAAATCTACAGTCACTACGGAACTCATGTGCATTTGACATGTAACTAACCTGCGTGACGAACAAGGAATACTTCAGCATCTTGGCTGCTGCGTGGATGCCGGGCCCTCTCAAGTCCTGCTTGTCCCGTTGTTGCTTATGTAGTCCAGCTGCTGATGACGTCGATGTCGTCGTGATTTGCGGCAGCCAATCGTGGCTGCTATGCAGGAATTGGGTCGTGTCCGCTGAGTCATGTTGTGGCGCGATGAACTGGCCTGCGTTCCAGATCGGGCAAACAAGCCACGGCAGCATCTGCGTGACGAACAAGGAATACTTCAGCATCTTGGCTGCTGCGTGGATGCCGGGCCCTCTCAAGTCCTGCTTGTCCCGTTGTTGCTTATGTAGTCCAGCTGCTGATGACGTCGATGTCGTCGTGATTTGCGGCAGCCAATCGTGGCTGCTATGCAGGAATTGGGTCGTGTCCGCTGAGTCATGTTGTGGCGCGATGAACTGGCCTGCGTTCCAGATCGGGCAAACAAGCCACGGCAGCATCTGCGTGACGAACAAGGAATACTTCAGCATCTTGGCTGCTGCGTGGATGCCGGGCCCTCTCAAGTCCTGCTTGTCCCGTTGTTGCTTATGTAGTCCAGCTGCTGATGACGTCGATGTCGTCGTGATTTGCGGCAGCCAATCGTGGCTGCTATGCAGGAATTGGGTCGTGTCCGCTGAGTCATGTTGTGGCGCGATGAACTGGCCTGCGTTCCAGATCGGGCAAACAAGCCACGGCAGCATCTGCGTGACGAACAAGGAATACTTCAGCATCTTGGCTGCTGCGTGGATGCCGGGCCCTCTCCCGGCATCCACGCAGCAGCGTGACCGAACAACCATGTCCGGCGGCCATTTTTGGATTTTGATAACGAAAAATATATTTCGCTCACTACCGTGCTTAGAAAAACAAAAACAATCCTTGTTTCAAGAAACAAAAATATTGGTATGTGCGAAAAAAATAAATCAATATAAGCACCCTCTCAGTCACGTGCGCGCTTTGTGTATCGCGGGATGTTCGCATTTCGGGCGACTTCTCTAAAAAAAAAACTGCTCTGGCTGCGGGTCTAAAAACATTTACTGACAAATGAGACAAGGGACGGATTGACAAAAGGTATGAATGGCCGACTATTAGAATCGCTATTTCGAGAAACAGAATCGCCAATACGGCACATTGGGCTATAACCCTCTGGATTAAAGATTTTTTTAGAGCGCAGCTCTTAGGGGCCCGTTTCCGGCTTGAGCGGCGTCGGCGTCGCCGTCGCCGTCGGCGTAACTAAGGTCACCCCAAGGTCACGTGACCTCCAGGACACGTGACCCCCAAGGTCACGTGACCCCTCTCGAGGTCACCCCAAGGTCACGTGACCCCTCCTAAGGTCACCCCAAGGTCACATGACCCCCCGGGTCACGTGACCCCCCAGGTAACGTGACTTCACCGGTCACGTGACCTCCAAGGTCACGTGACCCCCAAGGTCTCGTGACCCCCAAGGTCACGTGACCCCCCGAGATCACGTGGCCCCCAGGTCACGTGGCCCCCCCTCCCCGAGGTCACGTGACCCCCTCCCTCCCCCCAAGGTCACGTGACCCCCTCCCCCCCCCCGAGGTCACGTGACCCCCTCCCTTCGAGGTCAGGTGACCCCCCGGAGCATATTAAAGAATGAGGGGAGGAGGAGGAGAAGGAGGAGGAGGGGTCTACCCTCCCCTCAGTACCCTTCCCTCCTCCTCCTCAAGAGCTGCGCTCCAATTCGGCGTTACAGGGAGTTGTAAACGGCTTTCACTTTTTTTTCTCCGTATCTATTACAGCTAAGGCTTTCACACTTTGCCAGTGTGTTGCCCTGTATATAGCTCATTTTTGCATCAAAAATTGTTGTCCTGGTTGGCGGCAGACATTTACAAGAATTGCTCACACAAGGGCATTTGACTAAATATGAAATATATTAAAAACAATTTAAAAAAAATCATTTTTAATACTTTTTGAACTCCCCGAAATTAACGTTTATAATATGTACTAATAGAATCTGCAGAGACATAATGCAATATTTGTGTGGCTTTGAAGTTATAAAGCGAGAAATATGGCCAAATTGACGCTGACGCAGTTCCCATAAATGGGGCGTGCACATACCCGTTCTCCACTATTTCATTATTATTAAAAAGCGTAAAAATGCTACGGCGTGGTCAGGAAAAGACGAACTGACAGCACAGACGTGGACGGTAGTTTTGAAGAGAAAGTTCATAGTACCTTTCCGTTCAACCGACCCAATATGCCAATGGGCTGGAGGGATCGAGGAGCGCGCACCCTGGCCGTGTTCCACAATTTACTCGATCTTACTCAAGGGTAAGGGTTTCGTACCTTGACGTTCCAAAACCTACCAGCGTCCAGCGCTTTTCAATTTGAGTTGTCACGTGACACGACCCGCCGGGGTAACTCGGATTCATTTGGGTAAGATTTGGAACACAGCCCCTGTAACATGCTTCGCGGTGCCTGTTTCAACAGACGGCGTATGGCGTCTCCCATTAGGCGACGTAAAGAAAGCAACCGGAGCGACTTTGCAAACAGATCAGCCTACAACCTTGGCGGTAACATGATATAGCAGGTAAGACTTGGCAGAACCTGAACCTGCGCCGCCTTTCACCGGCACTGCAGTAGCGAAATTACTGCTTCTACTGTAGTAAAGTAGTAATTTGAGCTAGCGCTTCTACTTCTCCGCACGCTTCTACCGGTTTAAAGGCTAGCCAACATGGCGCGCTCATTTTCTCCGCGTCTGCGTCGCGTCAGCGCCTACGCTTTGACGTCACTTCCGCCGCCGGGACGAAACGCAGCGTTTTTTGGCGAATTCCGGCGTATCTGGAGGAGCTTGATATTTTGCGTCGAGGCGTCGCGTCTCGCGCTGCGTCAAGAAGGCAACAACCAATGAACGGCCGTGTTCACTAGTTGCAAGGAGCGTTTGAATTTTTTCTACTGTTTTCCCTAGGGATGCAGCGAACTTTTTTTAACCGAAAGGTTCGATGATCGCATCAAGCGGTTCGAAAGGTTCGAAAGATTTCGAATTTTCGAACTTTTCATATCGAGAAATTCGACGGAAGTCGAATTTTTGAACTTTTTAAACTAAGAAGTTCGACGCTTTTCGAAATTTTGAGCTTATTGCGCTGCGAAATTCGATGCTTGTCGAACTTTCGAACTTGATAAACTAAAAAATTTCGATGATTTCCGAACTTTCGAGCTTCTTGCACCAAAGAGTTCGAGGTTTTTCGAATTTTCGACCTTCCTACGCTAAGAAATTCGATGATTTTCGGACTTCGACCTTATTAATCTAAAGAATTCGGAAATTGTCGAACTTACGATTCCTGAAAAGTCAAAAGTTCGACAAACTTCGTATTTTTAGAATAAAAGGTCGAAGTTCGTCGAAGTTTGAAAGACGGGCGGGCGGTTTCATTTGGATTCAAGCAGTGAAGTACATTCTTAATCCTTTTTTCGCATTTTTACATGCGGTGCCGCATTCCTTTCGAAAGACAATGGCGTTTCCCTTAGCAAAAAGATGCAGTACCTGAAAAAAACTTGAAATATATTGAATACGAGTATTCATTTTGTATTCATTCTGTATTATATTGTCCCCATTCGAAATACGTGCGAAAGGTATTCAAAATATATCATAAATATTAATCAGAAAAAAAATTTAGATATACCAAAAATATAATTCCTTGCCCCTCAAGATGCCATATGTGCACTTTTTACTGCACAAACGGCATTTTGAGGGGCAAGGGATCATATTTTTGGTATATCTAAATCTTTTTCTGATTAATATTTATCATATATTTTGAATACCTTTCGCACGTATTTCGAATGGGGACAAAATAATGCAGAATGAATACAAAATGAATATTCATATAGCTACACAGCTACACATTTTTGGGGGGATTTTGTTAGTAAATGTGTCCTTGCGGTATTTGAAGGCACTACTAAATACATCCCACAAAGTAACCATTAGAAACGAACACAAACACAAACACCACGACGCACTGAACACCTGAATGACAGTCCCGTTGACTGCTCTAGAGCCTTATATAGCCTACATATTCAAGGTAATCATTTGGCCGGTGACCAGCCCTGCACTTATTAACGTTCCAAGTATTTGATATTCTCCTCGGGAGTCTGTCAAAGGGGAAACAGTGTTTTGAAGTTCGTGGACGATATCTCTTACTACAAGAATTAATACAGCTAATAATAATTCGGCGCAGTCGCTAAAACAATATCCATAGAAACGGCTCCTAGAAAAAATGTATTGCTTCTCTGCGTAGCACCACCTAAGATGAGGTGAGTGAAGCTAGTTTCTTCACTTTAAAGTAGTTATTTTGATTTTCTTTACTAGTTCACTATTTAATATGATCATTAACGTCACTATATTAAAGTCACTACTCACATCACGTACAATGGTGAGTATACGTATTCAGTGAACTAACATTGTGCTAACACAATTACACGCCAAACATATGTGCTCACAGCACTTGCTGAAGCTTTCCAGCATCAGGAAGTGTTGTGGTTCTAGTTCCCGAACCCCGTTTGTGATCGGTGTGCAAGAAACTCATCAGGTCTGTTCTTGACAGAAAAAAAGGAAACGAGAACATAAACTGGGCTGATTTATCAGTGCGATGCTGCACAACTCAATTGACAAACTAATCAAATGTTGTGTTTAGGCACTTCAGTGTACTCCATATCTGTTTGAAGTGAACTTCTGATAGGCGAGTTTTTCAATACTTTGGTAGTTTCAGTTAGACAACCAAAGGATTGCACTCAAAATATATTTAGAGCATAACACAACAGTATTTACGAATTCCATGTATTGTAAGAGTATTCTGCACATATTTTTGATGGCGGCATTTTTATTAGGGTTGGAGCATATTTTGCATGAAATAAATACATATTTAAAAAAAATCTATGTGAAAGGTATTTTGGGCCTACTAATTTAGTATTTACATATCTCAGAACGCATGAAGGGAACTTCAAATGTAGTTTAAATAAAGGTATTTTTAAAAAAAATTTCAGAAATATATGTTAGTACTAAGTAAAAAAAAAAGTGTATATTTTCGGTCTATTTATCGTGTACTTACAATTATAAACTGTACTTCAAATACACTCAAATTAGAATGTGGTATATTTCAAACATCTTAGTTTTCACTAAGGGTTATTTCAATCATCTGGCATGCTTGGTTTCAAAGAAATATATTCCCGAAGGAGCGAGGAAGGACGACGGGTTTTTGACGATTGTCGTTTGTGCCATATTTGAAGCGCGTTATAGCCGAAGCAATTTATGGTAGCAATGCTAAACTTTTTAAGAACGATCTATGTATAGCCTCGGTAAGTGCCGTCTTAAGATATGATTATTGTTCTTCAAGACGAGTTTCGAAGAAATATCCAAACATGTATCTACGGGCAATTATGCCCTAAACTTGGTAATTTTTTTCGTCGAAATTGTTTGCGGTATCGCATTCAAACTAACACCACAGACAGTACATATCATTACCATCTGCAGAATACAAATTAATCTATCTATTTTTCTTTTCACGCTGAGGAATAAATTAACTCAGGGAAAAAGATTTCTAATATTGCTCAAATTCGGCACGTCATAAAAAAAAATATATATATATTTCGTTTTAAGTTTTTTATTTCACGTTTCTATGGCGTGTTTCTTTTAGCCTGTACACATTTTCGTAGGAGAAAATTGTTTCGTAGTTCTGGGCCTCTGAATATGCAAGAATACAACTCTTCCGGCGGATTCTTG